AAGAGAGAGAGAGAGAGAGAGAGAGAGAGAGACATCAGAACAACTCGAACGAACGAAGCGAAACTGATGAAACAGTCATTACGTGAAGAGAAAAGGAGGGAAAGAAACAAGACGATTATTACGTTCTCCGTCGTGGCATAAAACATTAACTCCGTGTGGGGGCGGATGGGGATTCCCCTAAATGATTCCAGAGAAACTGCCGCATAGCTGCGGAGCGGCACGGGTGCTGGTGGGTGGGCGGTTGGGGGGGGGGCTTAATGCACCGCTTGGAAATACTTAAGCACGAAAGTGTTAATGGTTGTTTGTTTGTGAGTGTGTGTGTATGGGGGGGTTGTTGAGGTGCACGCCTACGCCAACGCCAGTTCGATGCTGAACAGGGATTCTTTAACCCTTTCTTAGCGTCCCTGAATCTCGTGTGCAAGACTTTAAGTTTTGGTCGTTCTTGTCAGGGGGTTGCTGGTGTTTGGGGTTAATTTTGGCGTCGTTGTTTGTTTTGGATTTTTTAAACCGTGAATCCAGATTGTTCTCCTGTTCCTTAGTAATCTACATATTTGTAGAGACGCTCATTTAAGTGTGAACTCTTTTTGACGGGTAATGAAATTTACAGTAATCCTTAAATAAGCTTGTTAAATTCTTGCTTCCTTCTCCCTCTTTCTGAGAGAGAGAGAGAGAGAGAGAGAGAGAGAGAGAAATAGCACATTTCCTTTGCGCCCTTTCATTAGCTGTTCATAATCGTACACACAATCGCTGTTGTCCATTCATAGATCTAGTCCCTTCTGCTATGTTTTCTGTCCTTTTGCTCCAATTGTTACTTCGACAGGCAGACTTTTTCTCTAGTTTATTTCACATCCAGTCTTGTTTTGGGTGGTTGCGCCACTGGTAGGCCCTACTTCTTTTCTTCCCCTTTTGGTTTTATCTGTGTTTTTGTTTTGTTTATTTGTTTGTTGTTTCCTGTTGCTCTAAGTGACTGTTATTGAATCAAAGTGTGTGGGTGGTGGGGACTCTTTTTACGTTGCAGGACAGCAGCTGGTTGCTAACAGTCGTCTTCTACGCGTGAATAAATGGCTATGACAGTGACGGCATATTATATAATATATTTTGTATCACCCATAAAAATTCAAATGCAGGGTAAGAAGGGGGGGGGGCAGGTTGCACGTGCATTTAACTACAGAGAGACTGGTGGGTCCCCCCCCCCCCCCTTCATTTGGGTTTGGGCACCCAACTTCGCAACGAAGTTTTTATAAACACCAAAGAGTGTCGGCCATGACAATAAACGGTGTAGGATATTATTGCAATTCAAGTCTTTGACATAACCTTTACCAGGACGTTTCCATTCACAACGGTGCTGTAATGTCTCATCTGTCATAATATACATCGCGACTCGACGGTTTCCATATATTGCAGTGATGGTTACGCAGCAATTGAATCGTAAAACCTTGAAGCTTCTTCGTAATCTGGGTATCGTCTTGAAGCCTATGCCTTTTGTGTCTTTGTAAATATGCAACGCTCTCATTTCATATAACTACTACACGTGGGTGGTTGCTATGTGCTCTGGCGTGGGTTGCTCCTCCTTTCCTTCCAAACATGTATCGTCCTTATCCCTCCCTTTTTTATGCTCGTTATTCTATTGAAACACCTCTAGTCTTCGGCACGTATTTCTCCTTGCATTGCAAGCGCCGTAAAACTTTACTTTTACTGAAACTAAAACAACCATTACCCTGCAGATTCTGGTAGAAAAATACGTTTCGTGTGGGCTCTAATACGGTCAGGCACAGCAGAAGTGTGTGTGTGTCGTTTGCGTGACCCTGTGGCACGTTTGTAGTGTGCACCGCTGGTAGTGTTGTCAGAGTGAACCAGAACTCAAATAAATGCCATGGTCTTGTATAGAAGAAATGTCAATCCCTTTATACTGCGGAGGCGTTTCTAATGCGTTTGTTGAGACCGAATGAAAAATTCCATTCAAAAGACATGTAAACAACGTAATAATAGTTTTCCCCTTATTCAAGAGTATACAACAACAACACAGGTCGCTTTTTTATTTTCGAAAATTTTTCCTATAGACCTTTATGAAAATGGCAGAGAGCCAGTTTCGGAAAGCACAATCGA